GCTTGAGCCACATCCCCAGCCCAGACTTCTTTATTCTTTAACATATTTTTCTACTACAACACAAATTGAATATTCCATCTATTGGCCAATGATCATGATTTGTTCCTTTATAACCCTCAAAGGTCCTTATGAGGGTGATGATAGTGATAACAGCAGATAACAATTATAGTTTTTGCCACACATTGTTATAAGTGTTTTATGTGGATTAATTTATTCCTTATAAAATTCTGAAAGGTAAATCCTATTATTCTTTTTTCCATAGGTTTTTAAAAAAAATATTTATTTTTAAGTTTTAGGTGGACACAATATCTTTATTTTACATTTATGTGGTACTGAGGACCGAACCCAGTGTCTTATGCATGCTAGGCAAGCACTCTACCACTGAGCCACAACCCCAGCCCCTTTTCCATAGTTTTTTATTGGTACATCATAATTGTGCATAGTAGTGGGACTTGTTGTACATATTTATATTATTCTTATCATGAAAAAAAAAAAAACACCAAACCTCAAACTGAGGCATAAGAAGTAATTTTTCCAAGGTGATAAAACAAACAAGTGGCACAGTCAAAATGTGAATTTGGTAATCTGTCTCCAGATTAATTTTTTGGATTTGAATTGGGGATTGAACCCAGGGCCGCCTCCATGCTAGGTAAGTAACTGTTCTACTACAGAGCTATATCCCAAGCACCCGTGCCCACCTCCTAATACCTTTTAATTTTAATTTGAGAGAGGGTCTTAAACTAAGTTGCCCAGGCTGGCCTCAAATTTGCAATCCTCCTGCTGCAGGCTCCCAAGTAGCTGGGATTACTGGCATGTGCTACCTCACCAGGCTTCAGAATAATTTTTATTTTTTGATACTAAAGATTAAACCCAGAGGTACTTTACCACTGAGTTATATCCCCAGCCCTTTCTATTTTAAGGCAGGGTCTCACTAAATTACCTAGGACCATGCTAAATTGCTAAAGCTGACTTTGAACTTGTACTTCTCCTGCCTCAGCCTCCCAAACTGCTGGGATTACAGGTGTGCACCAGTGTGTCCAGACCCAGAGTAATTATTATTATTTTTTAAATATTTATTTTTCAGTTGTAGTTGGCCACAATACCTTTCTCTCTCTTTCTCTCTCTCCCTTTCTTTCTGGTGCTGAGGATTGAACCCAGGGCTTTTCACATGCTAGGTGAGCCCTCTGCTACTGAACCACAACCCCAGTCCCCAGAGTAAATATTAATGAGTATATAGTATTGTCTCTATAGTGTTCTTATGGACTCCTGAATGGTTCCTCATCCAACTGTACCCTTTTTCTTCAAGAGCTACCAGCTTAAGTTCTCTGAAAATGGTCTCTGCCTCCCCCTAACCCTATCCCCCACCTAGTTCTTGTATATTTTTTCCTGTGTTCCTACAGAAGCCATGCCTGTCCTCTTTGACACTTAATCATATATTATCTGGGATCAAAGCATCTTTATGATGGGTGAAAATTTTTTTACATTGCTCACTATTTTTATATTTATAACTCTAAGGGCATTTACAACATTACCAATGTTTTGATTTTGTCACTGATGCAGATATTTAATAAATCCATCTTTTTCCCATCTTATACAAATTAAAGTGTCTTAATGTTTCCCTGTAGAATCTTTCTCTTGTCTTCCTCTCTTTCATTTCTCTCCCTGCCTTTTCTCTTTTGTATTTATAGCACTTGTTAAAAATGAAAAAAAAAATCTATCTGGAACATAACAGCCTCTTAAAAAATAACCAACACTCAATGGCTTTTCTTTTTAATAAATAACACTATTTTATTTTTCTTGTTGGTTTTAATGTAATCTTATAAAAGATCATTCTCAGTAAAAACTATTTCTGCACTCTTAATGGTAACAAAACTGGTTTCAAATGGCTGGTGAAATATACATAATTCTTTATTTAAATCCTAATGAAATATAAAATATACATAATAAAAATAATTCATAAGACTGGAGGAGCTTGGGACGTAGCTTAGTTATAGCACTTGCCTAGCATTGGTAAAGTCCTGGATTTAATCCCCAGTACTGCAACAAACAAGCCAAAACAAACAGCCTCAAAACATCATTTTCAGATTGAAGAGTAATTTCTGGAAGATATTCACTGAACAAAGTGTATATGTAGCCACCAATATTAATCAATCTCAAAATTCTTAAAAAAGATTAGAGAACACCAAATATTTGTAGAAATTGAGATGTTCTCATTTTCACTCACTACTGGTTTTTCTTGGGAATCAAGTTCTCTAAAAATAGTTAACAGACTTAAAAACATGTGTCCTCAGATGTATCCTCAGAAAAATTCAAGAAGATACTATCCATGGGCTGGAGTTGTGGCTCAATGGTAGAGCACTTGCCTGGCATATGTGAGGCCCTGGGTTAGATCCTCAGCATTGCATATAGATAGAGTAAATAAATATCGATCAACAACTAATAAATATTTTTTTAAAAAGTAAAAACAAAAGAATATACCATTCATAAAAAATGAAGATGTTGCTGGGCACAGTGATGTATTCCATAATCCAAGCTACTCAGGAGGCTAAGGCTGAAGGATCACAAGTTTAAGGCCAGCCTTGGCAACATAGCAAAACCCTGTCTCAAAATAAAGGGGGGTGCGGCACAATGGGGATGTGGTTCACTGGTAGAGTGTCCTGAGTTTAATCTCCAGCATCAAATAAAAATATTTTTTTCTTACAATTTAAAACTCTGTAAGGATTATAATGATCATGATGACAATTATTTTAATTAAAATGAATGAATTAATGAAGAATAATCAAAACTCTCAACCAAGCCCCATGTGTTCGTATGAGTATGGGCAAAGAAGTCAAAGAATTCATATTTAGGAGAATGACAAGTATCCATAAGATCATATGTAATCCCCCCTTTCTCCATGAGAGTGACAGACTGTTTTTTCTTTCATTTTTATACCTTTGACTTATTCTAACAATAATGTATATTACTTTTTCTGGGGGGTGGTACAGGGGATTGAACTCAGAGGCACTTAACTACTGAGCCACATTCCCAGCCCTTTTTTGTAGTTTATTTAGAGACAGAGTCTTGCTGAATTACTTAGCACCTTGCTAAATTGCTGAGGCTGGCTTTGAATTCGCTATCTTCCTGCCTCAGCCTCTGGAGCTGCTGGGATTATTATAGGCATGCACCACCATGCTAGGCTATGTTTTAATATTATTTTTTTTTTAAAAGAGAGAGTGAGAGAGAGGGAGAGAGAGAAAGAGAATATTTTTAATATTTATTTATTTATTTTTAGTATTTGGCGGACACAACATCTTTGTTTGTATGTGGTGCTGAGGATCGAACCCGGGCCGCACACATGCCAGGCGAGCGCGCTACCGCTTGAGCCACATCCCCAGCCCCGATTTATTTTTTTTTTTTTTAGTTGTAGTTGGACACATCTATCTATCTATCTATCTATCTATCTATCTATCTATCTATCTATCTATCTATCTATCTATCTATCTATCGTGGTGCTAAGGATCGAACCCAGGGCTTTGCACGTGCTAGGTGAATGCTCTACTGCTGAGCTACAATCCCAGACCATGGATGTATATTATTTTTATAACAGGAAGTAAGAAAGTACAAAAAATATCAGTTAATGAACCAAGAAATAAAACAAAGTATTCAAAAGCCAATATTTTGTCAAAGCTCATTAAAACTTTATCTAGTTTCTACATATACATATAACATTAGGTGAATATACCTGCAGATAAAATGGAGATAGGATATTCCAAATGGTATTAGGTATAATATTATACTAGTAATTTTAAAAAAATTAGATGAAATAGACAATTTGAAGGAAAAATATTGAAATCTGACACAAATACAAAAAATTTAAGTCTAATAAAAATAAAACAAATTTGACATAGCTCTTTTCTCCCAAAGACTTACTAAATTATATAAGTTCAGTGAAAATTTGGTTCACCATTGTTAATATTTTTTAATTAATTAATTTTTTATATATGACAGAGGAATGAATTACAATTCTTAACTATTTTT